AGTCGAAAACGTAGTCAGTGTAGCACTAGCCTGCTGTGTACAGACGCTGACAGTCATGAGTAGACATAAAGAATTATTCATCGCAGCTTCAGTCCTTCAGTTACCAGTCTTTCTGGCCCTTCATTGGTGCCCGACTCACTACTTCTGCCCGTATCCAATAAGAGACCTCAAATCGATGAGTGAAGACGATACGAGTCACGTCAAGGATAGGAAGATTGCAACTCAATGCCAGATGCGACGTGGTGGAAGGATGAGAGAATCTATAGGTTGTAGGAAAGCTCAATGCCGGATCTCTAATCTTTCCACCGCGTAGATAGATGCCTTCCCGGGCCCAACTCTTCTTTGGCAAAGCCTACCATCAGAGCCGTCAGCATCAGTCCATTCGAGATCAAGCCCTCAAATTAACTCATCGATAGATGACCTCACGACTCTGGTGATCCTGTTTCGAGTATGGACACTCATCTTCTTCGTCCCGTACCATTCGGGAGTTCCCCCCACGCAGGTTCAAATCTAGAACTCGACCGACCTCGGTACGGCCGGCGTGTCATCCGATAGTTCGCAACACAGGGTAGCAACCAGCAAGATGGCCCCCGGAGCCCGAAGGGGGGATCGTCCCGTGCCTTGCGTAAGGGTCAGGGCCAGGGCTAAAAGGGAGAAAGAGAATCTCTTTTTCGGGGAGGGAGTGGATCACAGGGTTGGGCTGGAAATTGAAAAGTTCTTATGCATGCATCCCAGCCCAGCGAACTACGTGTAACGGTCGAACTCGTTTTGCTTTTCCGTATTGCCGGGGCAGATCTTGGTAAACTTCTCGCCGATTACGGTCGACGGATGGGCTGGTCATCGAAAACTACGGACGAACTATGTGATTCTGACGTGAACGACCCATTTCGATATCGATAATTCTCCGGCATCATCGGCCGGGTAAGAGGGAGTTGCAGAGCCGGATGGACATGAGTGAAGGGGCGACGAGCCGGGGAGGAGCGGGAACTTGGAAGTGAAGGGGTCAAAAAAGTTTAAAAGATTGGATGAGTCTTGGTATCTCGGAAGAAGCAACGAGAGGGCCTGTTTGTCGAGGGCAGGGCGAGACAAGGTAAAGCGCTGAAGGAAGAAAGAAAAGGGTATTATTCAGGCAAAAAGGTCGGAGATGGCGGGTTGCAGGGAACGAGTCTCTCTCTTCTCGAGTTCTTTTGAAGAGATTACGGAACGTCTCACTTGAAACTTTCCAATCTCAGACGTTTCGTTTTATTCCTTGTCTCTTAACTCTCGCCTCTTTCCCTTTCTGCCTTTTGTCATTTCTGCATTCGGCATTCTGCATTCCAAAGGAAGGGGGGGAAAGGTGGGAAAGCATTTGATCCGCGGCTTCCACGAACCGGCGATGCCGCGATACATGGCCGAGATTACGGATACTGGGTAGAGAGACATGTCCAGTTCGTGGTGTACGGAGTATTGTGCGCTGGCAGAATTCTGGGAATCATATCCTTCGAATCATCGTCACACGTGGTTGTTGCTTTTCTGGAAACTTTCTGGATGGGGAGGGGTTACACCCTCGACGGGGTTAGCAAGGCTGGGTTGCGTTTTCATTGCTTATTCTTGCCAGACTACATAGGTACCAAACTAATACCGCTCACACGACCCTGTCACCTTCAACTCCTTTTCGGAGGCAGGCAGACACATTCTAAGATGCTAGGGACGTGGTGACTTGGATGTGCGTGGTGTAGGACTCGGCAGAACGTTCTTCGAGGGGAGGAAGAAAAACCTCATGCTCTGAGATCCACAACAGATAGAGAGAGGCCGCGCGCGTGAGAGAAAAGGTCTTTGGGTACAACGGCGGAGACAGAACGGTTCTATTGCATTGATGGAGGTCTTCCTGCCATCCGATGTTTCGTAGTCCTGTCTGTGTTTGATCACCTGTTCATCCCACAATGGCAAAGCCCCCCTGCACTGAGATGTCTTGTCTCCCTCTGTCATTGTCTCGCGTCTCAAGTCTCTCTTTGCCTTGCTGCCAGACCGGTGATAGACGCGCCCACATACAGACCACATGACGAGCATGCGGCACAGCAGCACATGAATTACACGAGACAGAAATGCACTGTGAGATATGCACGGGCGATCATCGACGCGAGGGTACGCACAACGGCGCGACGACAAGGCATTGAGGCATGCGACCTTATGCTTCTTTCCCCCTCCACCTCGGACGTCCACAAAGTCGGCGTCGATTTGTGATCTCACAACCGAGTGGGATTGAGACGGTGGGTGAGGATGGTGGCTGCTGACTTTCCATCGTCCGTCTGCGTGGGCTTTTATGCGGGATGCTTATGCTGCAGAAGGGGGAGTGGCAGAAATTTGACGGATCATCTAATGCAAGCCCATCCAGCCACATCACTGTGTACGATGCAGCGAGCCTCCGGTTTAAGAAATGTCACCGCCATCGAGATCGGTAGAATATCACATATGCCGCCGTTCACGACTCGATGACTCCCCTCCACCACGGCTCGATTCCAGACGGAGGGAACAGCAACAGAGAGATCTCGCGATCTCACGATCGATATGGTCAAATGTCCGACCACGCTTTGTTCCAGTCGGTATCAAATTTCTCCGAGCCAATGACGACGGAGGGTGACAGCGCACCGCGGAGCCGAAGTGGACGGAGTATCCAGAAAGGAAGCCCAAGGGGGGGACGTGGCGGGCAGATGAAGATCCCAAGATCGGGGCATGCGAGCGCAAGGCCAGCCGAAGGAGGGGGGGTCCCGAGGACAGCGGCGCCAACAAAACAACGCACAGATGTTGCGAAAATGATGTGTCTTTTTGGGGACAATGTCCATGATCCTTGCTGATGAGCAGGGATATGTGCTCATGAAGGGATGGGTAGCAGGGGTGTGTGATGGTAGGACGGCGTTCCGAATCCTCGAGATAATTGCTTTTTCTTGCATTTTTCTTTAACCAGAGTTTTTCTGCCTGTCTTTGGAGGGAAGAAGAATTGAGAGAGATTCGGTCTCGGATTTTGGGGGCCTGGTGTACTGGCTCAAGGTGGCTGATACATGAAATCGGTTACGATGGCCTGAAGCAGTTCAAGATCATCTCTGGTTGATCGATCATGTCGCTATCCGAGACTCAAGCACCGGGGGTAACTAGGAGACTGTGACGTCTCTTGAGGCAAGGAGGCGGTTGGGCTGAGGCTCAACTAGAGGCGTTGAGAAGGCGTTCAGGGAGCCCAAATATTAAACATGGCGATTTCAGATCCAGATTCACCATGTATGGAAAAGGTTTGACAGGACGGAAGCTCCCGTTAGACGGCGTCCGATCTAAAGTGCTTGGTAGTCTACCAGGGCAGTAGGGGGGAATGAAGTGGAAAGGGGGCGGCCAGATTTGATATCGAAAAGAAAGGAAACGAAAGGAAGCTATGAACGGGAGGACGGTAAGCTCCGGGATAGAAGCCATGTATTTGACTTCTCTGATGACGTTCTGAGCTGTTTCGATCGAGTCAGTAATGGAATTTTGTTTTCGATAGTATCCGCTGGATCGATGCGCGGGTACGTCCGTAGATGAACGGCTTCTGACGTGGCTGGCTGGCGGGCAAACGTGGACCCAAACAATGTCTCTATCCACGTGCCAACCTGCATCTGAAGATCGGCAATACACCATGTCATTGCCACGCACAGTTTTCTGTTGTGAATCAGACTGGGAGGCGAACCAGGAGGATATGAGGAACGACTGGGATGAAGGGTGACGGGAGACGTTGAAGGCGTGGCACGCCAAGTCCTTGGTCGAACGAGAATCGCACGGTAGATACCGGGCGAGGGACCAAGAGGTCGGGCAGGACGTTGATGCAGTTCCGAATCGAGGGTTCGAAGCATGGTATGCCGTGATAGGTGGACGGCATAGTGACATACTGCTTGGAATCATTATTACTGAATCGGGATGATCAGATGGTGCCGTCAAGGATAAGAGATCTGGAGATCTGAGTGAAGTAATGTTTCCTTCTTTTACTGCCTCGTACAGCCATACCTACTTTTGATAAGTCTATCATACTTACTCGTGTAGGCGCCACGATTCTGTGTTCGACGGCTCCCATACGTGGCTTACACTACCTACGTATTCGGGAGATGGATGGTGGTCAGGTTCAGAGATGGGGATCTGCCGCAGGGGAGGGACGAAAAGTACAGGGACATGGGGGAGAATCTGTTCGGGGAATGAGGGGTCCCCGGTTCCGCGGCCGGGATTCCACCCATGGCTTGTCTTGGCTCATCTTGAAGTCTCTCCGCCTCTTGTTACTTATATCCCTTGTCTCTCCCATGCGGGACATGTTACTCGGGGGCATGACCATTGGTATGCGAGCCCGGCGCGGGCGCGCGGGAAGACTGCATCGTGGGGACCGTCATTTGGTTGTAACTCTACAAAAAAAAGTCTTGGATCTGACAAGAAAGGTGTGGATGGTACGGAGAGACGAGGGCTATAGCGCGGGTGTTGACGATGTTTGCTCTCCCGGGTCCATGGACGGAGACACAGCTGAAAATAGTCGAAGCAGGACGGGTTGGACGTGTACACCTACATATCTATAACATCACCCACGTTTGCAATTACTCTACCTGCCTACCTAAGCTAATACTACGGCTACCTACTTGGTTATTGAAGCAAACATACCGACTCGTCTCGTTGCAGACCTTTCGCCCGTTCACCATGCAGCCACCCCCAATCACCCGTTTAGTTCCCTCCCCCTGGTCCAACGACACCACCTTCCCGGAATCCCTCAAAGGTGAGAAATGATATCACAAACGATGATTAAAAACCTTGTAAGTCCCAAAGCCTCAAACACTAGCCGCAGTAATAAAGCACTTTCCACCCAAAGAAACGAATAAGCGAGCCCCTCGGTTCCAGCCCTGTTAACCGCTTCCCTTTTGTTTTTTGCCCACCATGCAGTCCGTCCATTATGATCCCATGGCAAGCGCCAATGCCATATCCAAAAAGGCCTTCACCGCAAGTGAACTTCCATGCTCACATATTCAAGCGCAAGATGAAGCCCGTCGCCGCAACCCGCCGGGCCAATGCGGCTTCACGCAGCCCTCGCAGCCAGGACTCAGCACATCCGGCTCCTTGCCCTCGAACAACTCGGGCTTGTACACATACCACTCGCGGTACGACTTCCACTCCTCGAGAAACTCGACCCAGTACGCGAGCTGCTCGACGAGCCAGCTATCGCGGAGTCGGTCGCGGATCCACTCGGCCGTCTCCTCCTTTCTGCCGTTGCCGTTGCCTTGCTGCCCCACTCCCGCTCCCGCTCCCGAACGTCCCGTCGTCCAGGTCCGAAGAAGATCCGGCCGGACGTCGGCGACGCGCTCGGCCGTGTAATAGACAAACTCGGCCCGTTGGCCCCGCGCCGTGAAGTATGGGACGGAACCCCACTCCACGACGGCACGCTGCTTGGTCAGCTCCACCACGCGCACCGTGCAGCAGGTGCATTTTGCCTGGTTGAGGAAGTCGCGGAGGACCGTCGAGGCCGAGGGCGTGCTGGTGCGCGGGTGGAGCTGCATAGTTGAGGTTGTAGCGCGATGATGGTGTTTCCTGTGGTTTTGGTGTGGCGGGTGAGTACCTGCGTCACGGGGACTTGGCGGGCGAGGCTGCGTTTGGCATGTTAGTTTGTGTTGGTCCTGATTTGAAGCTTTCGGGTGGATAGTGTTGGGAGACGGAGAGTGTGTGAGTGTCAGTCCTGTTGTGTGGCCGTTACCCGGGGTGGTGGGGTGAAGCGTGAAAAAGGCTAGACGAATAAAAAGTAAAGAGTGAAAAACGAAATAAATGGTAAAAAAAAAGAGCTCACGAGGTTTAGCGATCGATCTGTCGTCATCTCAGCTGCGAGGATATCTAGGATCTGTCGGCAAGTCGCAGACTCTAGACCTGTTTGTTTTCTGTTTGTATCCACCCCGAGTTGCTTTCTTCGGCTTTCCTTCCTGGCGACCAAGGATCTCTTTAGATACCATCACCGACGGACCAACACGGCACGACTCGACACAAACGGGCTGTTCCGATGTTGATGCTGGCTGCGTACGTACCGGATACGTCCCAAACTTCTTTAAAATTGGCAAGGCTGGCTTGGGCTGCAGAGACGACAGAACGGGAATGGGGTGGAGAGCATGAGCTGAGCTGGAGCTTGTTGTCTTTGATCCTCAGGGCAAGGGAGAGAGAAAGGAAAAGAAGGCCCGGCCGCCCCTCCAAAAAGTCTCCTGGAGTATTTTTTTTGCCCGCAATAAGATGGATCAACAATTCATTTATAGCAAGGTTTTGCTTCTCCCTCATGTCCCTCCCGTTACCCCAGTTCTGGCTCTGCGTGCCTTGTCCCCCATCATGTCTTACTCTTCTCGGCAAGGCTCGAAGGTCTTATGCAGTTACTATGAGATCCAGCCAGATATTCAGCCATATATGTCACTGGCAACACTAAGGTAGGTAAGTATGTGTGAGTGACATAGAGAAGGGTGTGTGTATGTGTGTCTGTAGCAATCCGTCATACTATCTCAGCATGAGCGTCATAAGGGGGGTGTGATCCTTGAAGATTTTGCTCTGCTCTCATGGTTGCACAGAAAGAGGGAAAAAAAGAACAGCGATACGTGCAAGGAGAAGCGAAATATGTAACGGTATGGTATGGTGTCAGTTCGTGCTACCGTGTTGCTGCGAGCGTAGACTAGGTGGTGGGTGTCCCTCGCTTCATGCTATCGCTTGCTACGGAATGCTTTCTTTTTCCGCCCCGTCTCTGTGGACACCCCATTTCGAGGAATGTTGACAACCCTGGTCTCCTCGCCGGGGTGGATTACCCGGGCGATCGTCCGCCCCAATCGCGCGGATACCCCATCTCGGGACGCCCGTCACATTTCACTTTTTCGTTTCCGCCGCATGACAGCGCCACCTTTGTGAGAGTTCCTCTTCTCTTGGGGAGGAACCGAGAGAGAAACATGGTGCCTGAAGCCCTAGTGTGCCAGTATCCGTACCTTACCTACACAGTAGTAGGTGTATCAAACAGCAAGCCTGGCGCAACCCCTCCCCTCCCCCTTCCCCTTCATCTCGCTGCCCAATCTTCGATACCACGCACGTCTCTCGGGGAAATGCCAGACAGGGATTCATGCAGAAGGTGAGATTTTACACTCCCGCCCGCAAACCGCCCATAGCTCTGGCTCATTGGCCTGAGGCTCCGTGCCCAGCGCGGCTCGTTACAGTGTTACTATCGAATCTTTTTCGAGTCCCTTCTTTGACAAAGATCAGAAAAGTACTGAATCCCTCTCCTATTCGCTGGGCTTGCCGTCTTCCGAAGGTGGTAGCGCCGGGAGAGATGGACCAACAAGGCTGGTCGCAAGGAAAACATCAGAAAATGAGAAAAAAACCATTTGTGATCCCTCCGAGCTCGTGGATCGGATACTTGCTTTTTCTTTCCTTTTTCTAGTCCTTCCTTGCAACAAGGAAATCCGCTGGGCAGAATGGCACTTTGCCCATGCCCTGGTAGGTAGGTATTCGTACCTTGCTGACTCGAATCAACTCATTCCACCCGTGTCGTCAGTGACAACCAGGCATAGTCTGGTCTTGAAAACACAACCTGGGGGCTGCCTGGCCACGGCCGAAAGAAAAAGAATGCGGCAAACGGCACGAGGAGAGACAAACGGATCCTGGTCGTGCCAGCAGCTTTCCGCAAGGGCCCTTGGGGAGGGGAGCGAGAGCAATAGGTTACGACTGATTGCTTTTGGAGAAGTTGATGAGGAAGAAGAGAAAGAAGAAGCAGAGGGAAAGTAAAGGCTAATTATCCTACTTTTTCTTTCTTTTGGTTTGAGACAAGGGCAAAAAACATCCACCGTTTCCCTTGATAATTTGGCAGACTCTCATCATCGATACGCAACACAGACAGAATGGATGTGTACATGCGCAATTCCCCATCTTTTTCTTTCCGCAAAAGAAACGATTTCTCGAGGGCCAGGCCCGCGGGTTTGTGCCCATGCCTTCTCATCCAGCACATACGCCCGCCAAGTGTTCCCAGATAGAGGGTGGGCAGAATATCGAAGGGGGGAGGGGGGTATGTGATCGAGGGATGGGAAGGGTAGGTATTAAGCGGCAACCTTTTTTCTGAGATCCTATACAATCTTTACCCTCGGACCTTTTCCCCTTAAGCCGTATCGATCCCGCTCCTGCAGCCACCTGAGCTTAAGATCTTACATATACCCGCTTGAACCATCACCTCGGGACGTCGTCTGACAGGCTGCTCTCGCTCACCGGTATCTGTCGGCCCTTGCAACTTGCCTTGACCGAGTTGTCATGCCAAGTCCCCTCTTTTCAGTCTAAATCAACCTCTCGCACGCTCACACGCACACGCACATACAATACCCTCGTGTAGGTTTCGATGTCTGTTGAAGAACAAGACCGATGCTGACGAAGCAGATTCAGATAGCTTTTATAGCTACCGCCAACCTCACCCTCTCTGTTTCATCAACACTTCTTCACCCCCACCGCCACCCACCGCCCCGCGCCGCCCGTCATGTGCGAGTGGTACCGACGCAACTACGCCTGCGGGCACCACTTCACGGGCGCCTCAGAGTGGTGCTACCGGTACAGCCAGACGCAGAAGCGGTGTAAGGTGGTGGTCACGCAGGTCGACTACGACTCCTCTGTATGCAAGAGCTGTATGAAGAAGGGCGTCAAGACCGAGGTGCCCTGGGAGCACATGATTGACCGATCCAAATTCGATCCCAACCAGGAATGAGAGACATCCAATCACCAACACCACCATCATCACTATCAGCATCGTCTTCCGGTGTCGTTGGCAACGAACCGTGAAAGACGACCGAAAAACTTACACAACCTTTTCCTAATCATGTATTTGTTCGACCAAAACCGCCTACCGAAGGGCGAGAAAACTTATTTCCAGGGCGAGAGAGAGATAGAGGGAGATGGATCCTCCTAAGGCGTACCGGTATCTACGAGGCGGTAATCGGGGTCGTGTGGCCAGGCACGTCTATGGCTTATTAGAGCATCTGGGAGCGGCGCACCTTATACCCATTTGATTTCATGATTGGAAAAAACTTGTTGGACTGTATGAAGTCCTTCGATGGCAGTTGCATTTGGAGTTTTGGAAGCGGGATCTTCAACAAAAAGAAAAGTGGTTTCTCAAACCCTCACCTTGGTTAGACTTTGTTTTACGCGTATAATGGTCGTTTGAACCGATCGCCTTAAGGTTGGATAGGGTATTACCCGTCTTTCGAGATATCGTGATGCATCCTGCAGGCTGCTTGATGAGCTTGCTGAGCGGCACGGCTATGCTAGCTTAAGGTATTGACTACCTGTGCAATGGATGAGGACCGACGAAGGCTTACTTGTCTCGAGGCAAGTTTCGATATCGACTTTGCGGTGTAGTGGTGTACTGAGTTGGGCATCGATCCTGCCGCGGGTCGCGGAATGCCAAGTCTCAGATCTTAGACATGAAGCAATCTGGAGGGGTCGGCAAGCTGTGGCAACTGGATCAGGACCTGAAGATCTGTCTAGCCTTTTTGACAAATGACGATCGAAGCAAGAGTTTCATGACCCATTTGCGTTCAGTAGTGAACAATGCAGGCATGGCATCCCATGTGCAGGTTGAGACTTGCCCAGCCTGGACACGAGGTCGTCAGGTAGCTATCGCATGGTGAAAGGAGGGGAAGAGGAGGTTTCGGAACTCCCAGTGGTTGTGAATTTCTCGATCTCGAACTGACACGGGCAATTCATTGGTAAGACAGACGGCCGCGATGATCCACGATCCGCGTTCCACACGGTACCGAAATCCTGAGACGCGCGCGTGCCTATGGCTCAGTCAGTGACGTTCAGACCGAGACAAGAGCTGACGCAAGGATAAGCCACTGAACAGCTGAGCTCTGAGGTTTTGGGGTGGTCTTGCGAGGCTAGAGTATCGGTAGCCGTGACAACGACTATCTACGGCGCCTGTTGGAATCGGAAGATGCCTTGGTGACCTCCGTACCGGTCCCGCATTTTCCGGAGGGATGCCGGAAGTCCACCGGCTTCTAAGGCCTTACATCGAAAACCAGCTTAGAACTGGGGGAAGTCGGCCAGTATGGCGTCAAGGGGCCGGCGATGTTCGGCGCTGTGGTCGTTGAGTGTCGGAAGATGCACGGGCTTAGATCGGGCGCCTGGGCATCGTGGCGGTCACGCGCGGCGCGGTGCGGCGCGGCGCCCCTTCCCTCCATGGTCCGGCGGACCCACTTTGAGATCCGATTACATAAAGAGCCGAGTACTCGTAAGGTACTTGACAATCAAAAGTTCTACCTGCTCCTCGAGTCCTCGTAACTAAAGCAGAAGCTTAGAACCAAGACTCCAGAATCAAGAACGGTACGACTGACTCCCCACCACCTCGGGACCCCTCCACATCGGTAGCGCGGCGCCCACACCAAAAATCCAAGAAAAGGGCTCTGAATGGCCCATCGCCGCAGTCGGCCACTTGATCGCTGCGACTTTACTTTGACAACCCCCACACCGCGATCAAAGATGTCCACTCTTTCTCAGACCATCAGCTAATCCCGTCAGAGGATTAGGATGTAGTGGTGCACCCAAGGCGGTGGTTACCCAATGCCAAACCACGCTGCTCCTGGCCTAGCCAGTCCACTATCTGACCATCTAATTCGCCGAGTGTGAGAGGATTTTTCTCTCTAGTAATCGTCTACTTTTATTCGCGCGCAAATCTCGCTTGTTACTCACGCCACGCGCTCTGTATCATCGTCACCTTTTGACTTCTCTTCTCTCTCTCACGACGTGTGACAGAGATTGAAAATTCATCGCAACTTTTGCGTCGCAGCCTTGTAATCTGCTTTTTACCGTATAAGATTGACAATTGACAATTGCGCTTAAACTGCAACTATGGGTCAACCATCCTTCGCGGCGTCCAACGCCCTCATCTACGTCACCTATGGACTCTTCCTGTATGAACTCTGCGCAGCTCTTTCAATCTCAACACCCTTTATCGCTGCTGTTTTCCCTCCCTCCTAAAGGGTGTATGGTACTAACGTTTGCGCAGTATCACCGGTACTGCCATTGCGTGGAAGTTCCGCAATCAGTCCAAGGGAGAGTTCCTGTCTGGAAATAGAACTCAGACGGGTCAGGAACTCTTCCCCTTTGCATCATGAGAATGAGAGTGAGAGTATATCTGTTGAATGGGGCCAGACGAGGCTGAGTCTCTTATATCTGGCCGCGTCTGCGACACTTGGCTCTCATTCCCTTGAGAAACAGTCAACAAGCTCGACTCTCGTTCGAATCCCCCAATGTATAGCAAACTAACACGCACTCCCCGCAGCCTTCCCCCTGGCCCTCAACTTCATCGCCTCTGGTGAGTGAAGAAGACGCGGGTGGTCTAGCCACTGCGCTTCTTAACCCGATAGCAAAGCATCTTCCGAGAAAGAAGAGCGGCAGAACGGCACGGAAAACAGCAAAGACTACGAGACTACTTTCCCACGAACCGCACAGCACAATGCAAGCCTACAACAGATGATATAGGATGATCGACTTCTCTATCCCCGATTCTTCTCATGAACAGAATCATCATGAGACGAATGACTACGGGCCAGGAATCCAATCGAATGACTGACAGGCAGGTTCGTAACCCAACAACAAAAAGATCAACAATTACTCCTCGACTTCCATTTCCCCCTACTCCCTTTTTTCTGATCTCATCTTCTGAATCGGCGGAGACAAGCCTACTAACCTTTCTGGCCACCCTGAGGCACACCTCGAATGTGGCCAGAATTATCTGTGGAAAACCCTCCCCCCCTCTGAAGATGTCATCAGGAAAAAGGGGGTGGGGGGAGATGGAAACATCGGGGATGCGGCTCACTACGGGCGCGGATTTGAAGCAGTCGCCGCGCATCCACCCTCTTCCGTTCTCATCGTCTCTGGAAAGTCCTTCTTGGAGGTCTCCGTCTGAGACGACACGACAGAAGAGGAGATGCCGCGAAATGTGGAAATGAAGCTGAGATTGCACCGTAATTACTCGATCAAGTTAATGCTTGCGTGGGAAACGTGCTGCCGCTCCGAACATCTCTCCCCCCTCCCCTCCCTCTCTCCTTCTACCTTGCCCTGGCCTCGTGAAATACTAACAAACACACCTAAGCCCTCGGCTCCGGCATCCTCTTCTCCTACCCGGAACTCGCCACAATCACCGGCGTCCAGGGCGTCCTCGTCTACGCCCTCTCGTCCTCTCTCCCGCTCCTCATCTTCGCCGTCCTCGGCCCCGTCATCCGCCGCAAGACGCCCGAGGGTTTCGTCCTCACGGCCTGGACGAGGCAGCGCTACGGCACCGTCGCCATGTTGTATCTCAGCTTCATGACCCTCGTCACGCTGTTCCTGTACATGGTCGCCGAGCTGTCCGCCATCGGACAGGTCGTCAACGCCCTGACGAGTCTGGATGGCTTGCCCGTCATGATTGTGCAGTGCGTCATCACCACAATCTACACATGTAAGTTTCCCCCCGCCGGTATTCTGGAGAAATAGAGAATACCAGACTAACGTCCGAATCATTAAGCCCTCGGTGGTTTCCGCATCTCCTTTGTGACGGACAACATCCAAGGCGCAATGGTAATCTGCCTCATCATCATCGTCGCAATCACAATGGGCGTCAAAACAGATATCGACACCTCCCTCATCGAAACCTCAGGCCTTCTGAAACCAACCCTCCTGGGCTGGCAACTCCTCTACATCCTCCCCATCTGCATCCTCACAAACGACTTCTTCCTCTCGGGCTTCTGGCTCCGCACCTTTGCCTCCAAAACAGACAAAGACCTCCGCGTGGGCGTCTCCATCGCCGTCGTCATCATCCTCTGCATCCTCACCATGGTCGGCGTAACCGGCCTCGTAGCAGCCTGGTCCGGCGCGCTCCCGCTAGACCAGATCGCAGACAGCGGCTCCATCGCCTTCTTCCTCCTCCTCCAACAACTCCCCGCCTGGGTCGTCGGCATCGTCCTCGTCATGGTCTGCACCCTCTCCACCGCGGCCTTTGACAGCCTGCAATCCGCAATGGTCTCCTCCGCCTCAAACGACCTCTTCCGCAACCGCCTCAACATCTGGTGGATCCGCGCCGGCGTCGTCCTCATCATCTTCCCCACCGTCGTCATCGCCCTGAAAGCCCCCTCTGTCCTGCAAATCTACCTCATCTCCGACCTCGTCTCCGCCTCCGTCATCCCCGTCCTCGTGTTCGGCTTGGTCGACCGCTTCTACTGGTGGCGCGGCTTCGAGGTCGTCGCCGGCGGGCTGGGCGGCATCCTCACCGTTTTCCTGTTCGGTCTCGTCTTTTACGACGGCGACGCGCAAAAGGCGGGTAACCTGCTCATCATCTCCGAGGGCCTGTACGCCAACGACTGGAGCGTGTTCGGCGCCTTCGTCGCTGCGCCCGTGGGCAGTTTCCTCTGGGGGTTCGGCGCGTTGGGGTGCCGGTTGGCGTTCCAGTACGTCTTGGCCAAGAAGAGCGGTCGCCGCTTCGACGCGCTCGATCGGCCTGTCGGGCCTGGGTTCACGCCCGAGGCTGACGGCGCCCCTCGCTATGTTGAGAGGGACGAGTATGAGGCCAACTCCGAGGTTGAGGTCATTAAGCCCGCTGGCAAGTTCTTCTAAGGGCCATGCCTCGATCTCAACGGTGAGCATGCTACTCGGAGTAAGCAAAGCATAAGCGATCAGAAGGTGTTTTCCTGAAGTACCATTTGATCCTTGCGTAGCAATTCGTATCAATACATGAAAAGTGGATTAAATACCCACGGAAGGGAAAATAACCCTAGCGAAGTAGGGAGAAGGGGGAGATTTTGATTCTTGTATTTGGTGGTCGGTCGGAGAGTCTTTTGCTCCTATGCAATCAGGCCCGTTCTATAGCCAGCCATTTAATCAGACACATATAATACACTCATTACATGTTTTTGTTTCACTCCTCATACACATGCCCGCCACAACCTCCTGTTGTCGTCCTCGCCAGTGCGACCAAAAGATATCAGCCTCACAGCCGCTCCCCCCGTCTCTTGGCATAATCCTTCTTCTCCATATCCTTGATGCCCTTTTGCATCATTTCCCAGTCCTCCATCGTCGTGGCCTGCGTGTTGCCCCACGCGATCCACTTCTTGGGCGCCCACGTCTTGGGGTTGAACTGCCTGGTCATGACAAAGTACTCTGTCTGATTCTGCACCCGCAGCCCGCCCTTGACGGGCTTATTCGTCGACTTCTCAATCTTGTCCAGCTTCTGCGAGCTCGAGATGGCGACGACGACCTGCTGGATAACCGGCGCCTTGCCCAGCGGCGGCATCATCGCAATCTTGTGGCTCACGATGCGCGGCTTGCCGTCGTAGCGGAGCAGCTCCCACGTCAGCTTCTCCGTCGCCTTGCGGCGCGAGATGACGGCCGACAGGGTCTGGTAGAGGGCCGGGGTGCAGATCTCGCGGAGGGTGTCCTTGTCGCCGGCGGCCAGGGCCTCGCCCAGGCGGCGGTGGAGGGCCTTGGCCTCGGGGACGATCTTGGTGTAGCTGAGCTGGAAGCGCGGCTTGGTGGTCCAGTTCGGCATGGAGTGGACCTTTGCGCCGAAGACGGCGAAGAAGTCTAGCACGCGTTGCTTGAGGCGGGCGTAGTTGTATGCCCAGAGGGCCTTGGGGGACTTGTCGAGTTGGGAGAAGGGTACGGTGACAAAGGTTCCTGTTGTGGATGCCGTGTCAACGAGCTATTCTCTGCCTGTCTCTTTCCTGCTCCCTCCACGTATAAAGTGCGCCTACTAAATCACACCATCTCGATACTGAGAACGCACCTGGAAGCATAATATGTGCCATAGTCATGGACTTTTCGATCTCGCTGGCAGAATATCCGCCGTCGGCCTGCGAAGCTTTCTTGTTCTGGCGCGAACTCATCCGCATGTCCGCCGCAAATTTGCTTGCGTAGCCCCTCCTCACCGACACGGCCACGACAGGCGACGCTGCTATCCTCTTGGCCGCGGGGAGAACTCTGGTGAAGGGCTGCTGGGGGCGCATGGCTGCGCTGCCGAGGCCGAGCAGCGGCCTCGCGAATCGGTACATGGCGCGTGACGGATAGGTCAATCGGTATCGATTCGTGATCGTAGGATTATGCCAGTTTCGAGGTCGTCGTCGTCGTCGTCGAGTGCGGGAGCGGGCGGACTCTGGGAATGGTCTGATTCCGAACGGGTCGTCCTGTCCTCTTACTGGGGAGCTCTATCACGAACACCTCTGCTGACCAAAAATTCCAATTGGAAAAATAGGTGGTCCAAGCTTTCGGGGGACATTTTTCTTGAGGGACCACAACTCGGTCGGAATCCTCCGCGGCAAGCGCTTCGGCCGTCGCATCTTTTGGAAACAGGGGAGTGCACGGCTCATGTTCTTGCCGCGATGGTCATCTGCGCCACACTGTGGCTTGTAGAGCTATGTTTTCCCCACTAGAGTTGAATTACACCAATGACAGCCTCGATAGTCATCAAGCCACGTCGAGTGGATAATTGCTTCCAAAAATGACGACGAAGGCAGGCACTGGCAGGGTTGTAGTATCCGTTCATGATGTGTCGGACTCCGCAATGAGGGAGAAGAGGGATTCGTACCTTACGCTACGAATACGTACCTTACCCACGGTCGGGCAGAACCCTGCTGTCATTGTCTCAATTCCGCATCCACAAGGGAAGCCCGACTAAAACGTGCCTGTACCTGCTCATGCTGCTCAGTGCCCAGTGCTCAGGGACGACGTAGCAATCAAGATAATGTGAGGTAGCGAACCTGGAAGGTGGGAGGATGGATGGATGCTTCACCTCTTTGGAATACTCATTAATCAATCCAAACCTTTTTTCTTTTCTAATCTGGTCTACAACTCTGACCAATAGCTCACCTCCTGGACCAGCTGGATTCGGCCATTTTGGCATTATCTCACGCACACACACATTCCCGTAATTGACACTTGTCGACACAATTGCGGGCAGCGGCACGCGACCTACCTGCCTGGGCTTCCATTCCCCCTCCTCGTCCTCGTCTTCGTCCATCCTCCGAATAACCCCCCAAAAAGGGTCCCTCATACTCGAGCTCCAATCCCTCCTTCACATCCCGGTCGCCTCCAACTCTCGGATGCTCTCCGTTCCTTGGAACATCCTGTCCCAAAAAACAAGAATAGAGGGAGGAAATCGACCGCACCCCCCAGAAACGAGCTGCAGGACCGCCCAATCCCAAGTGCTGGAGCACGACGCCGAGACACAACCTTGGAAGCACCAGTATGCCGAGCTACCTTTCCGTCTGCCACTAAGTAGTTCTCGACTGGATCTTGCTTCTTCCAAACTTCCAGAAACCCGCTCCGCTCTGCTGCTACACTACGCTACTCGCCAACCTTACCTACCTTGGGGTTCAAGGTCCTAAAAGGCCTAGACGCCTACGGATACCGGACTCTTCGACCAACCGGCCATCTCACAATAGCTTCGAACCTAACCCTCCTTCTCGTCCATCACACGCTCTCTTCCTCTCTCCGTCTGGCACTTGCCTCCTTCGACAACTCTACTACCCCCATGCCGCCATCGTCGCCGCCGCCGCAGATAACCGCACCCGAATCCCCTCCATCAATGGCAGCGCAGTCCGCCGCAACACCACCGCCTCACAGAGCTTAGATGGCACCCCTCGCGCGCGCCGTCTCAAACCACCACCTCCAGCACCAACACCACCACACAAACGGCACCCCGATTCCCACGAACGGCGCTCCTCCAGACCCAAACGCAGACGACACCACCTCCGGCCACCCACCGCCCTACAACCCGGACCTCGTCTCCTCCTCCCTCCTCGAACCCCGCATCGCCGTCGTTCTCAATGTCCCCAAGCTATGGCGACCATGGCTCTTCGCCTGCCGCCTTCTCTCTATCGGCCCGGCCATCTTCTGGGCCCTGCAGCCCGCTCTGACCCTCCTCGTTCAGATCATTCCCGTCGCCGTACCGGGGGGAAAGAAAGCTGTTGATGCTGCTGCTGCGGCGGCCTCTGGAGTCGGGGTTGGCGGTGTCGTCAGCGGCGGGTTCGCGGGTAGCACGTGTCCCCCGCCCAATTGGCCCCCCGGACACTCCGAGATACCCTTCCCATGGACTGAAATGTCCTTGGGACTCATGTGGGTATGTGGAAGCATTGCTCTTCTCTGGGGGAGCACACAACGACGCCTGCGCTGGGTTGTGCCGTTGGATGAACCCCCGAAAGATGAATCAAAAGCTGACATGAATATCGTGTTAGTGCGGAGCTTCAGCGTACCTCTCCTTCTTCTTCATAGACTGCCTGATGTCACGATGGTAAGTGGTTGAAGCGCACCTTTCTTCTCCACATGCTATGTTCCGTATATGAAGAGGCTCATCTAACAACGACTAGGCTCATCAACTACACCCCACAAGCGACAATCATCCGCCTCCTTACAATCAACTCCACCAACGCCTTCCTCACCGAACGAATCCTCACATTTTCAGGCGGCTTCGAGGACCCAAGACTTCTTCTCCCCGGTTGGGTCACCATAGCTACGGTCAGTCAAACGCTTTCCTGTTCCACAGCAGCTTTCTACACTTGGGCCGCTCCCGAAAGCATTAGTTAAACAACCGTTAACATCTTGCCCTGCGTGCGTAAACCAGACCCTTACGATAGCATACCACATCACCCAACGAAGCATAAACATCCAAAAGGAAACCTCCACCTCGATCAACATCTTCTCCATCGCCAGCTTCATCAGCATGATCTCCCTCCTCGCCCACCTCCACTACAACGGCTCAGACTATCCCGAAAAACCGTTCGAGTCCCTCGCCAGGTTCATTCTGCAGCAGTTTGAGCGTGTGACCGGCGAGGCCATCTTGCCTTCCTATTCACCTTCGCATAGCGAACTATAGGCGCCATGTCACGAATCTAAATTTTCAGAGCATTGTTCCATCTATTTGATATGTTTTGGTGAATGTAGGGGGGACACGAACTATGTGTCATGGCGGATGGACCCCCACGATGGAAAGTATTTAGGGGCGGGAAGCACGAGAAAGAGGAAACACGACCTTGTTGAAAGCAACGGGTGCTGGAATGTGCTTTGAGAAACATAGATACCCCAAATTCACACCTATGCTGCATATAAAGTGGTTTCCTCATGCAATAAGACAAGTTGCTAGCACGTTGTTACTGTCTACAATGTGTGGTTCAAACTTCTGTGTAGATGAAGGGTCAACTTTCGTCTGCTGGGTGCCAAATCGCAAGGTTGTTTCCAGGCAGTGGAAACATCCATGACTAGGGATTGTCACAAAAAGTGGCATGATCCAAGGACTTCGACGAATTTATCAACGGCCAGAAGGCTCCAAAACAAGAGCACACATCACAAAAATGGCAAGAGAGAATTGGGACAAGTTTGTCATTGTCAAGACTAAATCTCTGGACCACCCAAACCATCAATGAAAGTACGGTGGGCCCTTGTGAGATGCTCGAGATCTAACTGTCTCATCATGCGTCGAAGCTGACGCAAGTCGCCCTCAACCTCCACCGATAACCTCTTCTGTCGGTGGGAGGTATACCGTCCTACTACGTCACATCGGGTGCCGACACTGAGCGGCGTCGAAAGGCGGAGAGGCTGCTATGCCTCGTGGCTCTTCTCAGACCCGGACGTCAGCCGTAGCCGCTGTGGCTAAGGCTGATAGGAACGGTGGCGACTTGCGGCGTGCTTAGAAACCGTGGACCTTGATGGTCTTGGAATCCAATCCGAGTCCCTCCTTGGTGTTGATGAGGAACTCTTGCACAACCTTGCGCTGGTCACCCTGGAGCTGGATGACCTCGCCCATCTCGCTGTCAGCTACGATGGTGCCATTGCAAGCTAGAAGGGGCCATGTTAGCAGGCCGCCCATGTCATATTGGGGTTGAAGCGGGGTAATCCGTACCAAATTGCTTCTTGATGACCTTGAGAATTTTCTTCTGGTCGAATTTCTTCGGGAGACCCTGAACGGTGGTCAAAGTCTTTCGTCCATTGCGCTCTGCAAGTCATGGGTTAGTCACTGTATGTTGATTGGTTGCCTTGAGTCGACGCGCGTGGGACCGCTCTGTCGGGACGTGCGGCATTTGTGTCTCTCGACAGCAGGGTTTGGAGGTTCGCGACGTACGTTGGATCCGAATATGGATATAATTTTGAGACTGTTTGGTCTCGCCGGTGTCTTCGTCGGCTTCGGCGAAGGGGTCTGAAGCGCGACAATGGTCAGCATCCTAGTAGGCAAGTTGGTGGCGGTCAGGGGGGAGAGAGGGCAACGCAACGTGCTCCAATCTCTAGGCGACAGCGAGCCAGGAGACTTGAAGGAACACGGCGGTGATGATCGTGGATCGAAGGAAGACGACTGTGGTGGTGACATACCGTAGGACTTGAGATTTTCAATTGACATAAACTCGTCTGTTCGGGGGTGACCTTGGGAAACGGGTTGGGTGACGATTGTCGGGGGTTTAGCGACGGACGGCGTGAGAGCGGTCTCGCTGTAGTAGTGCTCGAGTAGTTGGGTTGTTAACACGAGAATGCGGTTGCTCGCAGTTGATCTAGCGGTTATCTGATGTCGTTGATGTTTGTACTGGGTCGATGATGATGAGGTGGTGGGAGACGGACGAAAGACGGATCGCTGGGCTGGGTGGTTATATACGTCGGAAGATTTATGGGGGGTGGACGGGGTCTGCAGATCAGTGACTGATGTTAGGGTGGGCAGGCGGGCAGCCCGCAAAATTGGTAACTTGGGACGGAAGGAATGACGGACTCGGGTTCGGGCGGGCACTGAACAGAGTTACAAAGAGCGATGCAGTCAGGTACCTATCTCAACTCCTCTGCCTGTATTAGGTAGCGATGGGCGGATAAGGTACCTGGTTTGGCTGGGTCTCAGGCCCTCCTGCCCTGGTGCGAGTAAACCGGGGGACTTGGAAGGTGCAGGTGGGCACGAGGGGCAACTAGGTATTGCACAGGGCAGGCACAGGCCACTGGCCGTTTCCCGTGCCTGCTCTGGCTGAACCAGCGGGAAACGGAATCGCGTGAGCCGCTGACTGCGCCCGATAAGGTACCTTGACTTGGGAGAGATAAGGCAATGGAACCTCTCATCACCCGCATCTTCTTCTGCTTTACGTAGTATTATGGTAGTTTCCGAAAGGCATTGCCCCTCTGTACTTCGCACAGTTCAACGTGTGTTACTCACCCTTCGCCCATCATCCCAAAGTCAGCCCTCGCAGTGAGCACGTTGTTTGTGACAAACCCGTCCGAGTCCTGCCCTGCACAAGATGACGACTATGGATATGGATACCTCATTGCAGAGGTTTGGTTGGTGGTCACACTTGGCACAGAAGCAACAGTCACACCAACACCAGCACGGCCCACACCTAGTTGTGGCTGGACTCATCGACTCGCGCGCCGCCGCCCCGACCCCATGATTGTCCCTGGCTATTTGCGGTTTAGTCGGCGGGATGCCCAAGCAATCTATGGATGCCATCTGCAGCTAGTATCTCGGCACCTTGCGCTACCCGGCTCCCAGGTACAGCCACTGTGAGGCCTCTGCCAGCTCTCTGCCAGGACGTCGGCGCCACCGGAGCTTCCTCGATACATTATACAGCTGCAAGAGGTCTCTCGTCGGCAGCCACTACATACCTCCAACGATCACGCACTTTCAAGGACTGAGACATGGGCAATCATCTGATAGGGGACCCCCCTGGAAGAGCGCCAGCCCAAGAGAGAGGCACAATGTTGTTTGTTTCGTCTGCAAGACAAATCCTGACTCCCTGCGTCTGCGGCATCTGCATCAACGCCAACTCGGCCGGCTTCCAGACCTTGCGCCTTGACCAGTCCCGACTCTACAATGACCATCTGCTGCCAGCCGGCCTTGCCGCTTTCAGCGCCCAGCCCTACAACTTTCAAGTCTCCGGATGCGGCTCCACGATGCGTCACTGAGAGCTGACTAGCATGTCCCTGTCCTCCGTCACAATCCAACAATCCTACGAACAGAGCCTTTCAGACCATGGTCGAGCAAAAGCAGGATCGGTGTCAAGGCGCTTGAGCCACTCGATCGTCAAGTCACGAAATGGAAATTAAAGACTTCAAATGTTCATTACAATTCGACATCCATCAGTCAAGCTCTGGCACCGGCAAATGGTCGACAAGCTTGAGATGTGTCAGACCCAGCTTTCCCAATGCTTCGATAGCATTCTGGTCCCGCAGCTCCTGCGTCTCCTTCTCCGAGACCAGCACAAAGTCCTGTTTCAGCAACCATCCGCCCTCCTTGACGTTATACTCCTCCGCCGTCGCCTTGTCCACCTTATCGAGGTCGACAACAAGACTCTTCTTAACACCAAACACCGCATCCGATTTCTCATATGGATCTCCCCGGATATAGAGTGCGCTAGTTGATTGCGTCAGCCAGATCCATGATCCATCTCACCCAACCCTGGCCATCCGCATCGGAACGGAACGAACGGGGGGTTCTTGAAAGAGCTAGCTCCTACAATGGAGTAACAGATAAGGGCGGAAAAACCTACGTGATCAAGTGGTCCCAGCCTTCCTTTTGGAACATGAAGTGCAGATGCGCTGGCCGCCAGCAATGACGCCCCAGGAGAGAAAGCAGCTTTCCAACCGGCCCATCGTGGGGAATTGGATAGCTCACGGGCTTGATTCCCTGGAAGAAGAAGCGACCCTCCTTATCCGAGATCATGACACAGCGCTCGCTTGCTTCTGTCCTCCCTTCGTGCTGCACGTCGTAGTGACCACTGCTGTCCGTCTCCCAGATGTCAATCTTGACTCCGGAGATGGGGTTACCTTGTCGGTCCTTGATCGTGCACACAACCAGCAGCGGTTCGCCCTCAGGATCTCCCGACATATTCGCTCCGTTCTCCAGAGTCGGCGCATCGTGTGTGTGGAATGGTCCCAAGACGGAGCCTTCGGTGGAGTCGGATGGCTTGGGGTGGTTAATGCTGTCGACGAGCAGGGAGAGGCCTAGGATATCGGAGAGGAGAATGAACTCCTAGTCGGGCGGTCAGCGTTGTTCGTCAGGAGTCCTGAAGCCATCCGCTATATTCATGACGGGTGCACCGCGCGCCGACTTACATGCCGCACGTCGCTGCTAATCTGTCCGCAGCCGACGAGGAAATTCAGCGCCGCCATCCACTCGTCAGTGCTCAACCGCGTCTCCCGCGCAAAGTCGTGCAGATGGGTGACGAGCCGTTCCATGAGGTACTTGAGTCGTGCATTGTCGCTCTGCGAGTTGATGCGAACGGTGTTGGGTGTGATGTTGTCGATCGTGAGATCCAGGAGCTCTGGTGTGTTTTGAGCCATTGTTGCTTGCTAATTGTGTGTGATCTAGATGCAGGCAGCGACAACGGTCCGATTTGCTTCTCAAATGTCCAGTCGAGATAGTAACGGCTTTCTCTTTGCTCGTCTCGTCTATCTTTAATATCAAGGACCCCGGATTTATCTGGCAGAGGTGGTACTCTTCGGAGGGAGGGGCACTCTTTATGTAATGCTCTGTAATCGCTGATTTCCGAGTGGGCTACCTAGCTGTACCATGTAGTACAGATGGTCTGAATTTCGAGTGTCGGTCGACGGGTGATACCTTAGCCGCGTCGCGGCAAATCCGCCGCACCTTGGACGTAGTCGGACACTTCAGAACACAACGGATTTACGGAACAAGTCTCTAAGTCCTAGGATTAACTGCTTGGAAAGAGGTATGTCAGCACATTGTCATTTGATGGTTCCCCAAGACTCGAGGATACGGTAATTCTCCCCCTCTACCCCTCCTCCTCCACCACATCCCCAGCTAGGTACCTACCTGGGTGATAATCCCCTCCGGCACTCAGTCTGAGTCTCTGACTTCATAGAGGAGAGGGCGTTCTGCGGGGTACTAGCGCT